CATTGGCAATCATACCACATTTCTTTATTTTTATATTAATATAATTTAGTTGTTGTAATTAATTATTGTGGTTCACGTAACATTGCAATAATGCCTCAACCCCTTGAAATAGAAATGTGTATTTTTAAGTTCAATAAATGGTAAACCCTATTGACCTATAAAGAATATTAAAAATAAGTTACTTTTCAATATTAGAGAAACCATTATCTATATCAATTAAAGCTTATAACATCTTATAACTCCTCCAAGAAACAGAACTTTTGTGGTCTACACGGAATTTTTGAGTTGCCTCCCGTTGTCTACATGTTGGCAGGATAATTCATCAAATAATAAATAGGCTTAATGGAATTTTGGAGTTGCCTCCCGTCGTCTACATGAAATGAAGACTTTCTTATCTATAAAATAGTATATATATTCTACTTAGTTTGATATTTACACCTATGCGAAGGAACTATTTTGTTTTAAATCTGTACTAATGTACTTTCTCGTATGTTCTTTTTGACCAGGTCAGAATTGGTGGTGTTACATCTTACAAAGTCTACCCGAATTAATTGCCTGATACATACTTGTTTTACCATGTCAAGTTTAACATATATCTTTCTGTGCTCCGTGGTTGTCTAAATGTTTATATTATTTGTGCACGTTGTGGCGTGATCGTCAATTATCAAACCGATGCTAGGCGCCGTCTTATATTGCAGTGAGGTGAGAAATTTTGGTTCGTGTTGAAGGTCTCACTGTAACATTGAGATAAAGAACAGCAATAAAAGCGTTGTTCATTTGCTTTTTTGTTTTGTTTTGTTGTGCATGTACTGATTGTATGTCATGGATGATACCCCATATCCTTTCTTTTCTATCATATACATAAACAATACAAGAATGTAACTAATGAAAAAAAATGCACCCACATCTCCCCTTTCCAAAGCAGTCATCGAAATATTAACATAGTCACAAATGAAATAATTTGTAGATCATAATTTGCCTGCTGTGTACAGTTTCTTCCTATCAAGATGATACTCAAATACGCTGAACGTTCACAAAAGTCATTATTAAAGGGAAATAACTTCAATTACAATGTAAGAATCGTCTGGCAGGATTTTTTTTTATAGATTTATGGTACCTCGTTAGATTTTCCCTTATCTACTAAAGCTTTCGAGATATAAGACAATTACTTACATTAATGTGCTAATGTTCTACTCTTAATTATGACAAACATATTGGTTGGCAGATCGTAATGAAGTTTAAATTCTAAACACACTAAGGATTATTTATGATATGGTTCACTAGTTTCAACATGCAGATAAAGGGTAAAATAGACACTTTTAAAAAACAATAACTCCATTAAAAGTCAATTGAAAATTTCGGTCGTGTAACTAAATAGCAGATCTTGTATTGCTTATCATTTGTAGCTCACATGTCCCATCACTTAGCGTCTATCACTGTTAAAATAACATTTTTTTTACCAATTGTGCTCACAATCATCCTTCAAGGATATGTACTTTCAAAATTATGTCGATTTTGCCTTATGCCGCCGCACAAAAACGTGGCCACCATGGCTAAAGACTTGATAAAAGGGCAAAATAGTAATCTTCATCTTGAAAACTGTTATGCTTCGTGCCGATCTGATTTGTCAAGCCATTTCCAACTGATTTTTACGGTTTACACCACTGTCCCAGGTCAAATGGGCGACAGAGCGCTCACAAACATGTTTAACCTCCCCATATTCTATATGTGCTTGTAGAAGTCATTGACCTTAATTGACAATTTTCACCATTTTGTTTTGAGACTTTTGCAATTATCTTGAAAATTATGATAGATAGATAGAAAGTGATTTTATCGACTAAACAAGTCATCTATAGTAGATAGAAAAAACTACACACATCTTAAATGATCAGCATATAAGTCAACATAAATAAAATCAACAATGACCAAATCGATATTAAGTCCTAGAAGGACGATTTTATAACTTTTTTTTTTTTTTGGGGGGGGGGGGGGGGGTTGTAAACTTGAATACATGATTTTTTTGTTGAGTATTAGAGAAAATGCTTTAAAATGTCTTATCTGACACTGCAAGGCTCACTAGCACCAATCGTGGTCACCATCCGTCCTTGGAATGTGTAATTCTAAAACAATGTTGATTATGTCTTACAAGCAACAAACATAACTTCATCTATTTGATTTGAAATTTTTCACATGGAGTGCCTTCCGATTTGGACCGCACTTCTGCAATTTGTAAAATAAATGGCATGCACCTTTGAAAAATGATTTCAAAGGGGGTCTTATAGAGAAAATTTGTGTTATTACAAATATTTTATTTTAACTCTCAGACCAGAATAGACAGTAGCTCTAAAATCATATAATTGTGTTTCACAAGTGTCTACTTTGGTGCTAGATTATAGATTCAGGCTCATGAGAAACTTTAGATACTGTTTACAGTTTCTGTCTATCTAAAATGTTTTCAAGATAATAAGTAAACCTATAATTGTTATTAAAATGTTACTTAAAGGCGGTAACTATTTGATGGTTTAATCATTTGGTCGCTTTGAAGATCTTGTACTGTTGATCATTTTGTTCTGTTAACAGTTCTATCCATAAGATGCTAATGACCTCACCAAAATTTGTCAAGACTTTTCAGAAAGTTAGGTCTACTTTAAGCTTCTGTGAACTCGACCTTTATTCTAGTTACCTCAAAATAAATATGCAATGCCTGCATGATGAATAGATTTTAGAAATGACTGTGAGATTTCGGAAGATGGCCAATCAGTTGTTGCGTATGGACATGAAACAATGCTAGAAACTGCAATTTTATAACCCACAGTCCGAATTGACTAATATTATTATTTTGTATATTCTACCAAACTTTGATCTGTTCAAAATGAGTCACATGTTCAACTGCATTTTCAAATGTAGACTGAAAACGACGGACAGAAAAATGATATTGCTAAGTTACTTTAAAGATATCTAAAATAGAAATCTAAACTAAATATTTTGTGACACAATCATAACAACCAATCAAATGAGTTTCTTCTCTATTTCAGGCGTACTGACAATAATAATGACAATAATAGCCTTTGTATGAGGTCGATAAGAGGATTTATCGACCTGAAGAAGTATATCGACCTCAGACTTCGTCTTCAGTCGATATACGTCTTTCAGGTCGGTATATCCTCGTATTGACCTCAAACAAAGGCTATAATTGTATAATGTATTATGAAACAGCTCGTAGCATGTTTTACAGTTCTGTGTTTATGATAGTCAATGTAACAATGGTGTCCTTGTAAAAATACAGAAGCGTGTTTCTTACTTTGCAATACAGGAATATCACAACCTCTTATTGGATATCGGTATTGTAGACAGATAAAAGTCTGCTGTACACGATTGGAAAATCCATTGCATTGTTGTGGCAATCGTTATAGCAGACATGAATCTGCTGCACACGATTTAAAATTTAAAAACTACTTTATATCTTATCAAAAATGGATGCGACTTCCATTGATGGTGTTCCTATGATTAAAATCAATAGTTCAATACGTCGTATACGCTGTCAAAAAAAAAATGAAGCATCTAAATCATCCTTTTATACAAAAAATCCTTCTGACATATTTATGACGTCATAGTGATATCATGCCTGCATTGAAATAACATTTTTATTTATCGTATTTTCTTGGCAACTTTACCTCTCGAAATATTTTAATAGCTTTTGTTTTCAAATATTTTGGATTTGAGCGTTCTTGATAAAGATAAATCAAGAAAAGCGCTTCGGAGGCACTACAAGGCTATGATTTTTTTTAAAAAGTATACGTAGCAAAAACATTTTTATAGTCTTCAACGAGACAAAGTCTCCTTTAACATGTATGCCATGCATAAAATTCCTTTATGCACATCATCTGGCTATCGACAGACTATTACCAACATGCATAAAAGTTCGATTATTTATCTATCCTTTCAGAAATGTGAAATCAGAATTGTGCTCCTTTATACACATTCTCAGGTAGCGTAACAACTGTGTAAAATTTAAACAACAAAACTTTTTTTTACGGCTAGCCGTTTAGGAGTGGCTCTTACTAGATGTTATTAAATTCAATATTAGCTCCCCTATGACATGTTGAACTGGGATTGGATTCCTTTATGCACATCCTCAAGTGGTGCTCTACAACTATATGTAAAAATCATCAATATCTGACTAACCGCTTTACGAAATTCAGTTTACCAGGGATAATAACCTCATATTACAATACTCCAATGTTGAAGAAAGTAAATTCGATAATCTCCCCTATAACATTTTGGATATCCTCAGACAGGCCTAGTGTTTTACAACTGTGTAAAGTTATATCAATATCTGTCTAACCGTTAAAGACGAGTTGCGCTTAAAATGTAAATGGGCAGACCAATAGAAATACGGACAGACGGACGGACATGGGGAATTCTATATACCCCCTAAAAACTTTTATAAAAATATTTGCGGGGTTTAAACATCCCCATATTTCTTTTAACAAAATGCTGCATTTGGAAGACATAAACGTCTACGGAATTTAAGCTTTTTGGCCAAAGACAATGTTACCAGGATCAAAGTAGACAATGTTACCGGATCCAAGTAAACGTCGCATTTGCTTAATGTTGAATTCATGGTTTAGACTGATGTGCATTGGTATTCACTTTACGTTCATTCAGACTACATCTTTGTTTGAGGGAAAAAAATGGACAATGAAATTTAAGTTCATTATGTGATTTCCTTGTTCAGACATAAAATAATCTTGGTTGTACTGATTCTCTTTATATTTTAATTTGATAATAAACAAATCTTATTTTATAAAGTCAAATACTGTGGCATCCAACAACATATTTCAAACTTTATTAAAGATGTATATTTTTTTTATATAAGATAGGCATTTCTATTTCATTAAACTCTTACATTTTCTGTATTTAAAGCGAAGTACATTTTATATACATGTATACAAGACAAAAGAGGGAGTATCTTAAAAGAGATTAACAAATTACCATACCTTCATGCTGTGTTGAACATAAATCCTTTCAACGAAATTAATTTTCCAATGAATCCAACTTAAGACACATTTTTGCTTTCCTTTTAGCTATTTCCAACACTATTCCTGGATTTTATATTTACAGAAATCCCCATTACAAGCACTGTCTCTCCAAACTAAATGGAGTTTTACTACCAATTCAAATTATGATTGGATATCATTATATCCCACATGGTAAAACCTTTTATGCATGTAGTTGAATGCTATTATAACTTTTCATCTTGACATAAAAGTAACTATCAGCGATCAAGATAAAATCCGCCTTGTAAACGAGTCTCTTTTCAGTCTTTGCAGAGCTATGCCAAAGTTGTTACAATGTTCTTTTCATGTAAGTTTCAATCGTTTCAGCTACCAATGGGCCCTATCGTATGACTTCTTTCAAAGAAGAAAAAAGAGAATTCAAAATGTTTTCAACACAAAAACGAAAGGTTTTGTTTCCTTTAAAATAACCAGTCATCAAGTCGCAGTTTAACATTTTCATATCAGAAATAAATATATCGCTAGTCAGGTTTATTTATGATCGGTGTATTGTGTTTTTCGTCCTTTAAGGCCTGAACATAAAAGGACAATTATAAAGCACGTTGAATAGGATTTTAGACTCTTTAGTTTCTTTATTATAAACTTAAGACCTTTTCTTTCCATGTATACAGGCAATGTATGCAGATTGAATTAAATCTATTGATATAAAATGACATTCTTTAACATAAGAAATATGATACACAAAACATTCAAACGAGGCAATATGTTATTCAAAGGGGAAAATAAGAGAATACAATAAGGCCAGTCAATAGCTCGCTATATTAACTTTTTGTATAATCGTATCCCATGTAATATTTAACAAGGCGCGTGTTTGTGTTTACTTCAATCATTTTTGTTATTCCCTCATAAAATTAATACGGATGTATTGTTATTCGTTCTGAATACGTGCCGCTAGCTTTTGTAATTTTTATATCAGAATTCTATACAGATATCAACAGATAAAAATTGTATAAAAATATTAATGTTCCAGGGTATTAGATCATAATATAGCTGATAAAAAGAACTACAGTCTTAATTTTGATCAAACGTTCCGTATATTTGTTAATAAAAATACTCAATGAATGGCCTTTGTTGAATTCTTTCTGAAGCAACAGATATTTCATACTAACTATTTCAAACTGTGCATTCTTTCCGAACACGACTTAACGAAAAATTAAAACTACATATACAGCATTTGATCAAACTGCAATAGTCAAGTAGTTTCGATGAGTCCCAGGCCTTAATATTGTCAAAACAGACACCTTCTCCATTGGGAACTGTAAGTGGGTTTTTTTAAGAAAAGAAAAGTTATAAAGTATGTTGTACTTCAGTTACAAATCTGAAAATAGGTACAGTAGGTCGGAATGTTTTCTATTTTAACTGAATCGTCGAATTTGGCTAAAAAAGAATATAATTCGAATAGCTCTATTAAGTAATTTAACATAAATCATATGTAAATATGTATTGCTATACTACAGTTATGCCCACTAATGGTCCTACATTCTGTCGATACCTATATGTTGGAATTGCACAAGATCACGCCTATCTCAGACTGCTTATGACGTCTTTACACTAAATCTGTTGGATGTGTACTGATTGATATTTCAGTATTTGTTAGCATGGTTCATTTATTTGTTAAATTGGCATTGAGCTAGCTTTCAGTAATTGCGAATACTGATAGATCGGTTATGTGTCTTTCGTCTTTTTGTTGGTTATTTCTTTGATGTGTGCTTTGTGCTAATCTGATGAGTCAAGCGCTTTCAAACTTAGTTTTACAGTTTGTTTTCGTGTTGTGTTGTTCCAGATTTCGGGGGGGGGGGGGGGGGGGGGGGCACCCACAAACATGTTTACCTTGCCACATAGTATATGTTCCCGTCCCAAGTCATGAACCTGTAATTCATTGGTTCTTGTTTTATTGCCATCTGCCATATTTGTTTTTCGTTTTAGCATAAATCGTACCGTTGGTTTTTCTCTTTTGAATTGTTTCACATTTGGTCAAGCCGGAGTCTTTTATAGCTTACCATACGGTATTGGTTTTGGTCATTGTTGAGGGCCATATGTTAGCATCATCGTCACTGGTGAATCATAGTTTTCTCATCGACTATCTATTTTTATATAGGATGGCATCAACTTAAAGTTTACATTTATGAATGTATTCCTATTGTAAATGACTATCCTGGTATCATTTTGTTGGTGTCGCCAGGTGTTGCACACAAAGTAAAAGTAATCATAGGAATTTCAAACATTTTATAGCGAAAGATCACAATTATAGATAGACCATTATTGCTGGTAATATGTATTAATACTAGTACTGGTAATCATAATTATATTGCAGTGTCTGTATCTTTTACTTGATTGATATATGCTTGTAATGAGACCTATGATTAGGAAAGGAAAAAAAATAATAGTATAAATAGATCCGCTTTCGAAGGTCGGTTACAGACAATTTTTATTCACAATAAGCAATAAAAGAAATTGATTTGGGGATAGAACGAGGGAGTGGTGACGGTAGGTTAACCGGAAACGTAACTTTTTATCTTTTAACCTGAGAAAAATTCAAATGAAATATATATAAATAACACTTTTATTACGTTTATTCCTATTGGAAGTTGACGACAGGGTTTACACTACAACACCTTACAGCAAGATCCGCTTAATATCACTATAAAGACGTTTAGATCAAATAGTTAATTCTGTAAGAAATGAGACCAGCACCGACTTTAATTCTTTTCTTAGCTAATAAAATATGTCGGTTTTATAGACTTTTGAGTCAGGTTAGTTAATGCCCCCGTTTCTAGGGAATAAAAACCGGTAAAACGACCCGCTTGAGATCAGTTCCACTATTTCACGATCTCAAGTTGCATTGTGCTATTCTTACAAGACGAAATTGGTGTTGCTATTTGTTGAAGACGGTACGGTTACCAGCAGTTGTTTACATCTTTACCGTGTAGTCTGGGTGGATAAGAGGCACTGAATCCTACCACATCTCCTAATTTTTCTATTAATTATACAGATTTATAGTAAACCTGTTTCCTGCATAGTACATATTCTTTACATTATTAAAGACCGTAGATTGGCCCCTTAATGTCTCCTAGTTTTTCTATATCTGTATGTCGTTGGAAATTTGAACTCGTTAATGTTTTGCACGTCCTCCGCCGAGGATCTTTATTTCTGTATTCCTTTAATTTTTAAGGCTAATTTTATCTATCCTTTATTTCGTTTGCCTATTATTATCTATGGTTTATATTTTAGCAGTCCATTGTTCTCTATTCCTTATTTTTTTGGACCATTTTTGGACCATTTTTTCTATTTTTTGTTTCTTTTGGACCAATTTATCTATTCTTTTTCGTTACCATTATTCTCTGTTCTGTAATCCCCACCCACATCCTCTTACAAGAAAACGTTCTGATCAAAAGTAATGAGTAGCTGTCTCCGTATACCTCCTTTTATTCATGTTTGGTCATCACCTTTCATTCAACATTCCGTCCGTTGTTAGACCGTTTCACTTTTGATTGAACCGTTCAAAAGACCAACTGGTCGATACACTCTTAAGAAGTATTTTTTAAGTTTGGAATATAAAGCATGTTTTGTAATATACTGATCATTACTGTGAGGTTGTCTATAAGCTAGATATACAAAGAACAGTATCAGTATTTAATTAGAAAGTACATGTGTCCAAAAGATATACAGATCTAAATCTTAGATCAAATATACAAATCATATGGGATCATTTGCATGCAGTAAGTTCAACTGGATAATTTTGAAATCCTGTCCAGTTATAAAAAATATTACCATCAATTTGCAATGAATTGCATTAAGATTTTAATAATAGTGTGGATTTTATTTAAGTTGAATTAAAGTTAAGCACCAAAATCTTTATCTTATAGAATTGAGAATGGAAACGGAGAATGTGTCAAAGAGACAACAACCCGACCAAAGAGCAGAAAACAGCCCTGCATACCAACATGTACATGGAAAATAGTTTATAAGGCTAGTAGGTTTTAATCCTCCATTTTAGCACAAAAGTATTGTAGTGGGAAACACAAAAACTAAGGTTGAAGCTCCCTTGTGCAAACTTGAGCTTATAAGGTTTTATCGAGTGCCACTGATGATTAAAAAATAAGATATGATATGATTGCCAATGAGACAACTCTCCACCAGAGACCAAATGACGTAGAAGGTTAGCGACTTTTTTTTTTACCGTATACGACCTTCATCAATGAGCAAAAGCCATACAGCATAGTAAGCTATAAAGACCATGAAATGACAAATGTAAAACCATAGAACGAGAAAACAATCGACCTGATTTATGTACAAAACAATAAACGAAAAACAAATATGATATTCAGCAACAAACGACAACTACTGAAATACAGGCTCTTGACTTGGGACAGGCACATACAGAATGTGGTTGTGTTAAATATGTTTGCGGGCGCGCCAACCCTCCCCTAACCAGGGACAGTGGTGTAACACCACAACATAAGAACAAACTAAAAAAGCTCAACTTATCAGATCGATAGAAAGCAAAATACAACTAACAAAAACACAAAAGACACAAAATACAGATCTGTGAGTACTCGCAGTTACTGCAAGCTGATTATGTAGACAAAAAGATCGTATGGCGTACCAAATTATAAGCCAAGTATTTTTGATAACTTTTAAGCTGTTTTGTTTGGCCACTTTCCGTGTTTATGGTCTTAAACGTTTACTATTTTTGGCTTTCAAAAGATTTGGTCTTAAGAGGATCTGATTTTGGCCAAGGAACACATATTGTACTTTTTTTTACTAACGAACACAAACTTTGACAAGGACAGCGTCTTTTTTTAGAGGACACCAACTGTGACAAGGACAGGGTTGTTTTTTACTAGCGGACACCAACTGTGACAAGGACAGCGTTGTTTTTTACTAGCGGACACTAACTGTGACAAGGACAGCGTTGTTTTTTTTTTTGCTAGCGGACACAAACTGTGACAAGGACAGCATTGTTTTTTTCTAGCGGACACCAACTGTTTCAAGGACAACCGGCATTTTTTTTAAGCAGGACACCAACTTTATCAAGGACAGCCGGCATTTTTTTTTTATTAGCGGACACCAACTGTGAAAAGTGAAGCCTTCATTGTTTTTTTTCTAGCGAACACCAACTGTGCCAAGGACAACCGATATTGTTTTTATTTTCCTTTTTTACTATCATTCTCAATTGTTACATATATCATTCTCAATTGTTACATATATCATTCTCAATAGTTACATATATCATTCTCAATTGTTACATATATCATTCTCAATTGTTACATATATTTATTTTAGATAAAAAGACACTTTATAGAAGTTTGAAGTTTAATTCTTTTTCCGCTCACTTAAACATCCATCACATGTTTACAATAATTATGTTTAACTTTCATGTATTGTTACAGAAGGAATGCCTTTCATACAAAAGCTAATGAATAGATGCTTTCCTGTCTATAGAACTGTGAATGATATTGTCCTTAAATGTTTTGCCCTGAGGTAGTGAAAAAGCTTAATCTTAAACAGAAATACTGAAAATTTTGCACACTATTGATTTTCAGGAAAAAGGAAAAACGTTTGCATAATTAACTAAAATCAGAGACACCAATTCAGAAAATACCAGGGTGTGTAAGCATTCATTTCATTTAAATTTACAACAATACAGCAAATTAGCAAACAAAATTTATAGCCATGATCCGGGGCCATGATACAAATTTGTTAGTTTTCTTGAGGAAATCTGCTACTTACAACATCACGAGAATTTTTGACAATGACGATGTGTTTATTTTAATTTAAAGCATCTAGTATTGACTCTCCGTTTCTCTTAACTCAAGGGAGGAGGAATTAAAACAAATATACTGTACTTGACACAGGCTAGCAATTCTACCAGACATTCAGTGTTATACATATAAAAACGAGAGAAATCATTAGATATGATTGTTGTTGATCTTAGTAATTCAACAAAATAAACCAAGTAACTTTTTCAAATTATGCTTTTAACAAGTTTCACATATTAACAAAGAAAAACTTACCTTGTATCAGACGTTTGAAGACTTCCATTTAAATGTTACATCCTTTGAATAAAATTTCACATCAATTTTAAGCTAATTTTGAATAAATTCCTCTTATCATCACTCATGCATCACTTCAAATTAATATTTCATAATTCATCTTCGGTAATCTATTTATTCCATAAAGAACTGATGAAGTAAATCCATACTTTAAAATCCAATTGAAATAATAACTCCTAAAATAGAAGAAAACCAAATGTCAATCGTTTAATCCAATTAGGTCACAAACATCTACAGTAGACCACTTTGTACGATCAGAACCTATTTGAAATATAGAAGACATTTAACGTATAATTACGTTATTAACCATATTTTAAGCATAAAAAGTTATACTACAGACGAGCGAGTGCAAGATAAATCGAACATTAATCTTACTTTCAGCGCCCTCTGCCCCATCCCTTTTCACCTTCACCTTGCAAACTTAAAAAAAACGAAATTGAAAATCTCAGTGAAAACATAGTTGTTTCTTTACCTATTTTAACATCTACTATGAAAAGTGTTCGTGTAGATATAACGCGCGACCAACACAATATAAAGGAGAGGCATGCTGGAAGGGATCAATTTTCTTTTCTTTTCATCAAGATTGAAAATAAAACATACGACATTGTATCCAAAGTTTCGTAATGACCGGGTAAAGAATCCTTTCCTATTGTTAGTAAATTTAAGTGTTCCTTTCATTCATAACAATAATAAACTGACTCTATTGAAAACGAATGCATTCAATGATACAAAAGAAGTATACAATCGCCCGAAATACAAAAGAATTTGATGCAAGGGAAACTTTTGTTAAATTTCTGTATCTGATACATAAGGAAAAGGGATACTTTTTGTAGGATTATAAAAATTCAAATTTTACAATAAAAGTTAGAAGAGATCAAATTTTACAAGCGTGAAATAAATTCAACGTCTTCAATTTCTTTTTTTAACAGATTTCAGCTATTAAGATATAAAATTTGCTTTTAATCCCGAATAGCAAACAGTTGCAGGATGAGAACAGAGTTTCCTGAAGAAAACTCATCAGAAACTGAATAAAAAAACATATAATTACAAAGAAGCCGAAAAATTAAGTGATTGGTGAGCGTCCAGTATTTCATACATATCCATGACCAGGATAAATTTATAGTAAACCCAATACTTACAAATGTAGTTTTAACTTCAATAAAAATGTCTGAAGAAAACATCGATAAAATTTTACAAGGGTATAACAGATGGATTTGTATTGAGATGAATGTACATAAGACGTTCTCCAGAATATTAGTATCAAGGGATCAAATCACTTGTGCCCCCTTAACATACACGGATTTTTCTTACGATTCCCTAAAGATTGCCATCTCGTAGTCAGTCGCAAACATCCGTAAATAACTCGCTGATATCCGTAAATAAGTCGTCACAACTCGCAGACACTCTTAAGGATTCAAAAATCGTCTTGCGTTTGTCCACGGATGGATTTGTCCGTAAATAACTCCGTAAGTATCGTAAACTGCTCGCAACAATACGAAATCATCCGTTAACTGCTCACAAGAATCCGTGAATGACTCGTAACAATTTTCTTTTACGATTTGTTTACAGATTATTACGAGTGCCTACGTGTTGTTTACGATTTCATTCGGGTCGTGTTACGATGGCTTTTCGGATTGTTACGAGTTAATATGAGCACTTTACGTGTAGTTACGAGTACTTTACGAATATATACGTATAAGTGTACGTATTTTTACGTATTGTTTACGGTTTGGGGATAGGTATGAAAGATGAAAAATCGTAGGACTCGTACCAACACGTAAACAGGTCGTAACTTACACGTAAAAGCTTCAATGAAAAGTAATATTCCGTAATATACTCGTAACAATCCGTAAGATGTTCGTAAATTGCCCGTGAGTTTCTCGTAGTTATCTTTGACAACTGGTCACAAATCGTAGAATTTTGCCGTAAATACATCGTAATAACGCGTACTTATCCGTGACAAACTGTAAATAGCCCGTAATACCTCGTAACAACTTAAATCGGTCGCAATAGTTGCCAAACCGTAAGGATCCGTGAATTTGTGCGATCCGTTAGGACTCTTAAGAAAAATCCGTTTATGTGAGCTGTATTTAGTGTATAGAATCTCCTCGTTTTGTGAGATGTATATAGGGTTGTGTTTAAAAAATCGTTTGTCCTTGTTGGTTAGATATCATTCATTGGCACATCAACGATATTTCATGTGAATGCGTTTGCTACATGTGTGTTTCGAGTATCATTGGCGGGTTTGTTTTAATTCGATCAAATCATATATGATACAGTATTTCCGTGAATGCAGGAGAAACCAATGAGATCCGCTGGGATATTGAAAATGAAAATATTCCATTATTTGACAATTAATCACTTTTAGGAAAAGAACTTAATTATCTTTATAAAACCAAATGACTATAAATGCATGTAGGAAAGGTATATAAACATATTCATTGTATTAAGAGAGTTATATAAAGATCAACTAATCCGTCTGAATGGTCAAAATATATAAAACTGACGTTCCTTATGAATTCGAAACATGGAGTAATCTCAAATCTTGTTAGAAAATTACTCTACAGACTTTGAAATTCCAAAGATATCAGAAGATTTACGTGCTGCTTGTAAAAAGTATTTTTATACGTGTTCTTGACGCTTCTTTTTTATATATTGTCTGAACTTTTGACCTGCGCGCATTATGGTGGAATATGTTAATCTAGATTGTTTCGTTACAACTATATTGGAAACTGAGTGAATTTGACGAAGAGGTTGTTTTCTAAGCTTCCCAATGACTGAATTTAGCGACATAAACAACATGCGCTTAGGGCAGGGATCTCCTTTTTTAGCAACATAGACAACATACGCTTAGGACATGGACTCCTAAGTGTTAAGATTTTTTAATTTGAATTTTCTTCCAATTCAAACTTCACTCCTCAGTAGCTGAACTTTTCTTAGGTCCATTTCTTATACATAGGTAGAAGCCAAACGAAAGTTTGACTACACGCACCGCAGACTCTGAATTCAATGCATAAATTATTAAGTCCTAAAAATTCGTAAGGTTTATCGTATATTTTTTATTATTTTCGTCCTTGTAAAATACTGGGGAACCTTCTGAACTTTTACTTGAACAATATTTAAAAAAAAAAAATCTTTGAAAAAAAGGGGGGTCCATGACCCAAGTCCATGTGAGTGACGTATACGAATATTTAGGTTGGTGAAGCTTTGCTAAACCAATGTTATTCAATGTAGGACAAAATATGGACGTTCTGTCACATCGAAAAATATATGATGTGTCATCACTCAATTTTCCCTATGTACCATATGCTAAGCGACTTTAGTGTATATTTATCTATACATATAAAACCTTTTAATTACGTTTGCATTCTTTAATATCAAGTAACATTCCACACACAAAATGATATATTCGTTATCTCAATTATCGTGCTGAATAAAGAATGAATTCAATTGTATACATTGAGAACTTTTGATAAATTTCAATAAAAAAAAATGTCAAGACTGTCTTGAGAATACCCGGTATATACAGGAATTTACCAATATGAAAATTAGCAGTAACTGTCAAAAGAATTATATATATAAATATGTTAGATAAAAACTTACCATTATCGCGTCACTAAAAAATCATTTCAAAACATCCTACCAGTTATCAAAAGCGACTTTCAATAAAGCAAAACATGTCTTTAAAGCAATTTGTATCAATTCTTTAGAAATCTTACACAATAGCTTTGATAAATCTCAAATGATTTTGTAAATAGGTTATTATACGGGAAAATTTAATCCTTTTTCTTTCACCGTGGACTTACTCTGTCCGTATAAAGAGTCTTTTGTATAAGACTTGAGTAGGTAGTTACTTCTCGAATTAATTCATCGAAAATTTAGATGTAAATTAAATTTAACTTTTCCATTAAGATACTATAAGAGATAACATAGGCAAAACTAGTTTCTTTTCATTTCTTACTTGTATCGAAATCCTTATAAGTTTTCTTTCAAAATGCAATGTAAAAACCTTTTTTGTTGAAAATCACTGACTGTTAAGAATTCTCGGTCGTTTACAATAGAACATAACGATAAAACATGGGAGAAAAATTATCGTGTAATAGTAGTTCATTTAATTGTATTTCATAAAAATTGCGTACATTTAAAGCAAATGGCTAAAAGCTTCTATTCAAAATATTTTCAAATCTACATGTTTGTAATTTTGAAGACGCCATCCGATGGCACGCCTTGGTGTTTACAATGTGTTTGTTTATTAATTGCAGATAAATGTATATGTACAAACATACGTACATTTGGTGTTTATGGTTGCTATGGTATTTTGTATTTAGAGTAGATTATATATTGAGCTCAATTTGGTTCAGTTTTTATTCATTTGTTTTTTTCTTTTATTTACTTTTCGCTAATTCTTTATTTCCTTTTTATTTTTATTTTTTTTAGTGGGGGTGAGTTGGCGACGTAAATGATTCAAGGTCATGTTTCGACAGAAGAAACACAAATAATTGCTAACTAATCATGTAAAAACTCAAAAAAGACTTAGCTAATGATGAGTCTTATATAAACGAAAAGCGCGTTCAATTACATTTGTGCAAATAATTTGAAAACCATGGGCCATGTCAGTGAAAGTATCCTTGAATGGTCTTATGACGTGTCTGAGAAGGTCTTGGGATGTAAAACAAAGCTATCTTAGGAGTGTCCTATGACCATCCCATAAGACTATCCTTACACATTTATTTAATTAATAAAAAATATGCAGAGAATCAATCTATTAGTATTACGCTAAAACTTTATTTTGCGTTTATTTTTTTTTTTATAAAAGATGCGACCTCCCCCCTTTACATGTATACTAAAATACATCAAATATATTTAAGAATTTATCATATACTATTAAATGTTAAATAAAATTCATACAACTAAACTAAAGTGTCATAAAACTTTGTAAGAGGCTATTATCGTCCTAGTTTTGTCCTAAGGTCCACTCCATTTCATTACATGTATTTAATCAGCATGAGTTTGAAAAGAAGTCTCAATATTTCTGAACCCGAAATTCATATTCTGCAGTCCGAAGTAAATAAGCATAGGGGAATTTTATTCAGCAAGTTATCAAATTAGGCGACGAATTATATTAAGAAGACATGGGATATATGCACGAAGATAAATAATCATACAATTATCATTT